GAAAAATAGTTTCTACATTGGTGACTGAGTCAGAGAGCAAGAAGGCCAATTGAGACAACTAGTGTGATAGAGACAACAATGGGTAATCAAATGTGTAGGTTGATTCTGACTGCTGTTTATAAAAAAAATCCTCTTTTTTAAGTATTTTTGTAAACCAATTATCAATTTATGAATGAAAAGATGAAAGGCATTTTTTTAGCCGTACCTTGAAGTCTTTTCTCTCTTTATTTTACCTGAGTCGAGCAATTATTAAGGTAAGGAGAGTTAGCCTAGTCGCAGTAAATGTCAACGAAATAATCTATGAGTTGAATTGATTTCAGGGCTGAGTTAGATGGTGAGGCTGAAAATCCAGTTGATCGATAAAGTGTCATAGAGTTTAAATAGATGAGTGAGATTGTAAAGAGTTCATGACTCATTTGATATGATATCACCCAATCTAAGTATTACACCACCCATGTCTCAGTCACTCAGATAAGTCATTCTCATGGGTGGGACTCACCTTAAGCTAGACATCTTAAGTAGATCTCATCGTAATCTTCATGCGGGTACCCATTCAAACTTACTATTGGTTTGATTCATGCACTATTCACAGTGGATCTTGTCATTATTGAGTAGGAAATGACCACCACAACTTGACCGATATTCTAAGATAAGAGATATGAAAGTTTTATGATGCATAGGAATTGTGGGTTAGATAATTAAACATATTTTTTATCAGATGACTAGCATCGTTGTCAGATAAATATAGTTGCTATGGTGAGGACACTGTGGCGAGTTGACCTGTATTCCTTGAGTGTCAGTCAGACTCGATTGTTAAAAAAATTACCCTTCATGTGAACTTTAGGAAATTTTCCAAAGCATTTGTCATATTTGATTGCTTCTTGCCTGAAATATGGCTGAGCTCTATAAGTTTTGGTCAGATTCGATTATTTTTTGCATGAACTGTAGTTGAATTCCTTAAACATTGGTCACGCCTAAGACCACACTGTTAAAAAATTTTAATGTAATATTTGTATTTGATGAGTAAAAATAAGAAAAAATTGGAGTTCAACATTCTTTTATCAATAAAGATGTACATAGTTTATGGATAAAATATTTTTAAGTCATCTTCATTCCACGTGCAGGCACCTCCTTTCTCTCATATGTCTCTAGCTTATAGGCCTCTGGAGTAAATCATTTGTTGAAAATTGAATTATCTTGTCGATGTATAATTGAGCTTTTATACCCCCTGTCCTTGTGCCACTGGGTTAGCTTTCTTTAGCATGAGGTTTTGAGCAGTGAATGTCTTGTCTATAAAATGCTTGTTATAGTATTGAGCTATCATTCCGTCACCTCATTTTTCCTCCACAAGGTCGAATACAAGTTATATTCCTTCAGTATTTTTTTCTTGTTATTTGTTTATCTCGTCATATGTAGAGGCTACAATCACTCTTTGACCGTAAAAATTATAGTCGACCAATAACATAACCTCTATTCCACGTGACAGTATGAATGGAGTTTTTCCAATCACAGACAAATGAGTGGTCTGAATCACCCATAAAATGAATGGTAAGACTTTAGCTCAGCTTCTATGGCTTCAGCAATCTTTTTTCTTAGTAGATTCAGTATGTCCTTGTTTGCAGCTTCAGTTTGCCCATTCATTAGTGGGTGATGGATAGATGTAAATTTTAAGTTAATCCCCTAAATTTAGTATAAATCTTTCACTTCTTGATAAACAAATTGTGTCCCATTATTTGTGATGATGGTGAGTGGTAGACCATACTAACATATAAGAATTGACCAAATGAAATTTTGAATGACTTTAATTATGATCCAAATGAGTGTTTTCACATCAACCCACTTAGAGAAGTAATCCACTGTGACAATAAAAACTTAGTTGTTCACAAGATATGTAAAATGACATAAGGATATCAAGTCCCAAATTGCAAATGGCTACAAGTTAAAGATTGACTGTGTTGTGGGAAGGTTCGTGCTGCACCTATGTGAATTTTTGACATTGTTCGTACCTTAATGCAATTTTTTCAACACCCTTATATGGGGTTGGTTAGAAGTAACATTGTCGTTGTATCTTATAAGCCAATATATTTCCTCTGAAATGACTCATCACTCGCTAGATAGTACTTCTCTCAGTATTTCTTTCTTCTCATTCTCTTTGATGCATCTTAAGTATAACAATGTGGTTGAACTTCAAAAGATTTTTTTCCTAATCAATAAATACTAGAAAGCTTTGATTTTGAAGTGCTTTGGGTAAGTTATTTTTTTTGGTGATGCTTTCAGTCTTAAGAAGCAAGATATACTAATCTAACTAGCACTTTATTCCCTCGGTTTCTATTTTCATAGCTTTAGTTTTTTCTATGGTCTGTCACTTAAGATTTTAGATGTCTCATCCCCTAAACAAACACACTTAGACAGAAGGTCGACTACCTGGTTATTTTCTTAGGAGCTGTGTTTGATTTTGAAGTCTTTGAATTTTCTTATCTCCATCTTGGCTTTGCTGAGATACCATGCCATCATTCAATGTCTGACTTTGAAATGCTTGTTTACTTGATTGTCCACCAATTGATAGTCAGATTTCACTAGGGGGTGCTGCACACCCATCTCGTTAAGTGAACCATAGTCCAACTATCAAGGCTTTGTACTCAGCTTGATAGTTTGTGACTTTTAATCATGTTCTTGTTGAATGATACTATTAATACCTAATAAAATTTGTTAGAGAAAGACTAAACCCTTCCTCGACGTGACTAGATGCTCCATTGATATACAAGACCTAGATTAGGTCATGGATCACCATCTCATTATCAAACTCGCTTGGCTCAGAGAATTCAATTATGGCTTGGGTTTCAATGACAATTCTTGGCACATGTGAGAGATTTAGTGAGGACTAACTTGAGGGGATGGTCGTTGATGATTATGAATAAATGTGTTTGGAAGCACAGTCAAAGTATGTGAGCAAAAATAATATGAGAGAATGTTAATTTTTTCATAATCCAATACCTAAGCTTGACCATCCTAAGGATCTAAGGATTCTAAGAGGTGCCACTGGATGCAAGTTTTATTAAAAAAACTTAAGTTTTAAAATGTCAACCTTATGTATGGTCTAAGCTAAGGGTGCAAGTACTTTCAAAATACATTTTGAAAATATGATGCTTATATGTAATAAAAAATTGTAAGTTGTTATACTTTTAAAATAGGTCCTAAGAAAAGGAAAGCCTAAGTGACACCTATTAGACTCTGTAGAACCTTAGCACAACATATGCATGCTGATCATGGTGTGATAGCTAGTATTGCTCATCGAGACATCCTCGCGGGCAATACTAGCTGTCGTGTCATGACCAGCAGAGGGTCACTCAACTAACAAGCCAGTTTTGTCATTAAGATGACTGTGAATGCACAGGCAGATGCAATATGATATAGTGTGTCGTGACCGTTTCACGAAGTAGGAGCGATCACGAGATGACAAACATTCATCACAAGTATATGATGACATATACTAATGAAAAATGCGCCATCAGTAAGGTGGCGTATTTTCTGCTACAGATAAACACACACTAGGTAGGCTTGATTTGCAAGTCGTCCCAGAGAAGGACACATGTGTGTTTGGAGTGAGTGTGCAAGAGTAGTGCCTTAAGAAAGATGCCCACGACAGTTCAAAGTGGTGTCGTAGGAGATGGAAGAGTGTGCAAGGAGCAGTGACTCTGAGAGTACTTATGACAGTCTGAAGCGGTGTCATAGGGAGTGAAAGAGTGTGCAAGAAGCAGTGAAATTGAGGAAGATGCCTACGACAGTTTGAAGCGGTGCCGAAGGAGGTGAGAGTGTACATAGAGCAGTGACTCGAGAGAAGACATAAGAGTGTTGGGAGTGAATGTCTGAGAAGCAGTGACTCAAGAAAGACACTAGAGTGTTGGGAGTGAGTGTGCGATGAGCAGTGACTCGAGAAGAAGCCTACGATAGTCCTAAACGGCGTCATAGGAGGTGAAAGAGTCTGATCCTCATTAGAGGAGAATCACACAATGGGTAGGCTTGATGTGCAAGCCATCCTGAAGAAGACACATGAGTGTTAGGAAGCAAGTGTGTCAGAATAATGACACATGCAAACTCAAACATGCAAGCAATGAACATGCATGATGATATGCAAGACAATATGCAAAGAGGGAAGAATGTAAGTGCGAACACTAGCGATGTGATGCACGATGACACGGGGATGTCACGGTATATGCATAAAGTAATGCGAGAATAAAAAACCACACGGTTCACGGTATAAGCACAAAGTAATGCGAGAATAAAAAACCACACGGTGACATGTGGATGTCACAGTATATTGCTTAGCTATTGCTTTTGACGCCTCATGCAAGCTGCTTTCATATATTTTTAAGACAGTGAGATAATGCTTTTTTTTAATGCAGTTGTTAACTAGTCTTTACTCTTTTAGCACCCCATAAAACACTATAAGAAAGAAAAAAAATTTTGTGTGCGCTGTCCGTACGCTAGCTACATAAGGATGACAAACGCGATACACTGAAGAATAAAAAAATAAAACTCTTCGCCGTTTATCGCGTCCATTGTCCATACATAGCTCGTGTACGGACGTCGTACGTAAAATTTTCTCATAAGAAAGATTATGTTATTTACCATAATACTTGAGGTGCAATTAATATAATAACTTCAATCATATAATGCCACACACCTTATATGATACTATTTCACATACTATATTATAAAACATATTTCATATCATTAAAAAGTAAACATATTTTATATTTAAATAACATGTAATTAACTTTTTTCACCCTCAATACAAGCTTGTATCGATTTTGTGGCTTGATAATATTAAAACTTAGGCAAATTTATAAATTAATTATTTATCTACACATATATATAAATATATAT